TTGGAAAACATAATTGTAAATTTTTACACTTTACTCGTATTTTTTTATAGATTTTTATACTTTTTTTCAATGTTTAAGGTCTTTATATTTTTATTTTTCAGTATTTTAGGCAATACTAAAAAATAAAAATGTAAAGATTTAAAAACTAAAAAAAAAATGCAAGGTCGTGTAACAAAACGTGAGAAAGATGTAGGGGTTCAAAATTATATTTTTTTCTTAGCATTTTAAATAGGTCAGTTGATTCTTGAATTTGATAAAGTGATGGCTTACCATTCTCTCGGATGTTTGTGATTATACTTTATTGTCGGTTGCAAAAAAAGTTGCACAGCAGGCCCAATAATTTTTGGATCGAGTCTTGACTCTTAAAGAGGTATTATCCGTCGGCCCAAATATGTTGATCGAGAAGGGAATGACTAAACAGTTTATTTAAAAAAAAAGGAAAAAAGAAGGAATAAATAGACTTCTTGACCTTCCTTTTATTTCTTTTATGTGGACACCCGAAAACACAAATTACAGAGTTGTTGCAGGGAACTCATTTGTCTCTGTCAACTTTTCTAACAACTTTGACACGAGTAGGAACACCTGTAATCCAGTATTCAATGGTTAAAGTATCATTTCTGTTCTTTCTTATTAGATTTTATAGTGGGTTCTCTTAGCAATATATCTGACATTGGAAGAAAACCATCGGATCATATCATTTTCTCCTGTTAAAATTTCTATACTAAGCTTAAAGATTCTGACCTCAAGCTATACAGTTCTTTAGCATATTGTATAAAATTCGGAAACTCTATTTATATACGTTCTGTATCCTCACGTTGCCTTACAATGGTGTGTGGACAAATCTAACAGACACGGTATGGATGCCGAGCAATGATGCTGGAGACAGTGGCAGCTGTACCGGGCATGGTAGGAGGGATGCTCCTGCACTGCAAGTCGCTGAGACGGTTCGAGCACAGTGGGGGCTGGATCAAGGCACTGTTAGAAGAAGCAGAGAACGAGCGTATGCACTTAATGACGTTCATGGAGGTGTCAAAGCCCAGGTGGTATGAACGAGCCCTGGTCATAACCGTCCAAGGTGTGTTCTTCAACGCTTACTTCTTGGGCTATCTGTTGTCCCCTAAATTCGCACACCGCATGGTGGGGTACCTGGAGGAGGAGGCTATTCACTCCTACACCGAGTTCCTCAAGGAATTGGACAAGGGCAATATAGAGAATGTCCCAGCCCCGGCCATTGCCATCGACTATTGGCAGCTTCCGCCTGATGCCACTCTGAGAGATGTCGTCATGGTCGTCAGAGCCGATGAAGCCCACCACCGGGATGTTAACCACTTTGCTTCGGTACGTTTTTCCTCTCTCTGAATATTTAAATTGCTGGATTGGTATAGTCAGATACCTTTCTGGATCTAGGATATGGAAATTTACAATGGGCCAAGCACTTGAGGAACTGGCCCAGTTGTCGAGCGATGTGTGCTATTTTATAGTATTTACAGGTTTTAACATTCGGCTGGTCAGCTTTGTTGCGAAGTGTTTTAACCTTGAAGTGATGTTTGACTGGAGAGCTGGTTCGGATATTGTGGGGGCCCAAATTACCAAAAGAATAAATTGCTTTGGTTAATGTATTATGGGATTATAGTACTGACGTTGTTTGTGGATGATGAATTGCAGGACATACATTGTCAAGGGCGAGAGCTGCGGGAAGCTCCGGCTCCTATTGGTTATCACTAGAACCTGAGCATGGAAAAGCTGGTCATTATTTGTTTTTGGGTCTGAATAAAATGCTCTTTGCACGTGACATTTGTTTGTAGTGTCATTATGTAGAGTGGGAAGGATGATGTAAATATGGAGCATGCGTTATGTCAACAATCCTTGGACTTGAAGGATGTAAAGATATCTTTTGCCAACATTTCTACGCAAATCCTTTAAGCTAGTTCATACTTGCAACACTTCCAAGAAGTCAACGACGCAATATAATCTCTCTCAGAGGCTTTTCCATTTCCTCTTCTTTAAGTAATGGATCAATTACATAAATATCAGGGAGACATGCATGAAAATGTATGATCATTAGCCACACATTCAGGATGGGCATGAAGCTGCCATAAACAGGGAAGACATTGTCAAACATGCGGAGCGTGATTCTATCAAAGATTCATCATCAATAATAGCCTTGGGAGGGTATAATTTGATCCCATTCCTTGTTAAGCTTTCACTGCATCCTTTTGCACTGTATGAGTGACGAGTTCTAGTTAGGAAGGAGTGATTTCCTCCGGGTGAAGCTGTCACTATTACGAGTGCCTCAACTTCCACCAACGTACTACGTTACCTCAATCTCGCTTGCAGCCTTAATGTGATCATGCCATTTCGAATTAAGCAAGATCGTCCTTCTATATAACTCTTCATCTCTATTTCAATTATTTTTCTATCCTATGCAAAATAGAATAAAACGAAACAAATACTTATATATATATATATATATCTTTTGCACAACTGATTAAAACTAATAACTGTGTATAAATATTTTTTGAGTTGCCTACACTTTCTCATGGAAAAGCCCCCCAATTTCTCTCAATATTTACCTGAACACTGCTAATTGGTTCAAACACATGACCTGCTCCATTCGAAGGCCCCTTGGTGCCTCTAGGCTAAAAGGTCATTGGCAATCATTGATCATATTTGACGATAAATAACTGATAATGAGGTTGTGATTTTATTGTTCTTTAACAAATGTGCTGTTTTTTTCATTCTAGTTAAAAAAAAATTAGGTTAGTTGAATCTTAATTTTCGGCTACTCATGAGAACCATGGCATATTTTCAAGTACAGAATCCTTATAAAAATGCTTATAAGTTGTTCATTTTCAGAATGTTTACATCAACAGTGAAATTTACATTGCTCCTTGTACCGTGTTGTGTTATCTTAAAAGGGGATGCATCTTCAATTTGGCCTCGTGTCATATATTTTGTTTTTTTTTTTTAACTTGAGGCAATTTGATCATTCTTATACCAGACAAAGCCGATGATCAAACTAAAAGAGAACCTTCAGTTGAAGTAAATTATTTCAAAAACTACAATTTTATAATCCAAAATTTGCTTAACGTAAGTGATGACATTATGAATCTTAAAAAAATTATATATAGCATCCTTATTATTTCATTTAGAATAAAAATCCATGTTTATTAGTAATATTTTAGTCCTAAAATGAAACCATTCATTGAACATTCTCACCCGCCCACAGAATCTACATAGCTGTAAATTCGGAGGCTTCCGTGACCCACACGAGAACCCGGCCTCCTTGCCCCAAGAAATGCCAACTTGCTCATAGGCCTACAAAAATGCCAACTTGTTCATTATTTTTTAATAATTTCAAATAGTAATTTCGATAGACATTATCAATTTGTTATATATGTCTCCATGAAGTAATAAAATCGTTGTGCAATTTTTTGAGAGAACCAAAACTCCTGATACAGCCATACAATTATCCTGAAAAATTGGATTAATTGAAACCTTGAAAGGAATTTCGGTTCTCTTTCAGATAAAAATGATCTCATGGGGAACGAATTAATAAGCTCATCGTTTTTTATTATTACATGAAAATGAATATATGTAATATTTATTATATCTCCGTAATAATTTCTGAATAACAAATGATATCTTACATTTAACAAGTTTATTTTTTTAAATTTCCATTTTCGTCATAGTCCATTTTACAGACCAGATGAGGTTTTAAGCTTTCCTTCCAATAACCATCTTGTCGTGTAGAGAATCAAACCAAATTGACAACAAAATTGAATCAAACTAACAAAGTTGATCTAATTAGTAACAATTTGGCTCATATCACACAAAGTAATGGGTCTAAACATTATTGTCATTGTAAGGATTTTGTTAATGAGTGATTTGTAAATACTTTTATAAATTTTCTTTAAATTTGAAACATAACCCAATCATGATAAATCCTGAACACAACTCACCTAAGTTTTTTATTATTGAAGAAGAAAAGAAATTGAATTTGTTCAGCATCTCGCAAATGTCCATTAAATATATTTATCATTTGCTGCAACAGTAATAAATTAAAATAATATTAATTTTAATGTTATGATTAACATTTTGATTTGAATTGAAAAATGTCAAAGTAAAATAAAAAATTTGAATAGACGAGAAACACGAATGGAATCAACTCAAATTTAAGGACAAAAGTGGGTCCAAATTCTAGAAACATCAAAGATATTTTCAAAAATAAAAATAAAAAATAAAAAACTAGTAAACACAATGCCCACCATCACCAAATAAATGCTGATTCCATTTTTATTTATAAATACTTTTAATTGATTAAAATTAATTAAAAGTCTCAACTTTTTTAAAAATATTTATAGAAATTCGAAGTTATCTTGACTTAGTTTGGATGGAGGAAACATAAAAAAAAAAGAAAATAAAAAATATGAGAAGAGTTTTATAAAAATAATAAATTTTTAACTATTTTTAATAGTTTTTTGTTTTCTCTTTAGTTTTATTTCATTTATAATTTTCTTCCTATTCAAACAAAAGGTAATTAAAATTATTAATTTTGCCTTTAAATTTTGTAGCTATGTTTAAAAATAATTAATTAATATTTCATCAAACTTTATAAGGTGTCATGGATTAACTACCAAATTTTTTTCCACACAAAAAATGTTTTGAGGACAGAGGGAGTGATAATTAATTACTCCTCCACTCTAAATTATCAGTAACTTAATTTAAAATTAAACGTATTAATAAAGTTAATAATGACAATTTGCAAATCAATTTTTTTAAAAAATAAAATCTAAATTTTTAAAAATATTTTTTATTTGATATAAGTTTAAATCTATTATCATTTTAATTTTCTATTTAAGTATGATATTATAAAAATATTATTAATAAAATTTTATTTTTATTAAATTATCTCATATTTTAAGATAAGGAAATTCCTCCCATGTTATTTTAAAAGCAAAACCCCATTATAAAAACCCAACAGCATAACCCCTGCACGACTGAAACCGAACGGCTAGTAAGTCGTAACTTTTCTCTCTGCTCTCTCTCCAAATTTTCTCTCTTCACAGATCCTTCCATATCCCACATCCTTGGATTCCTTCGCAAATGATGAGCCGTGGTGTTATTACCTGCCGAGTCGCCGTCGCGGCCGGTTCACGTTTCTTCTCCACCACTGGTACAACCGCTCGTGCTCTGGCCAGCAAGGCGGTGGTGAGTAATGCAGCCATGGGTTTTTAGTGATCAGATTGGGGCTAGTAGAGCTAATCTCGGCTACTGGCTTAGGGTTCCATTGGTCCGCAGCGGAAGTGTCCGGAATTCGAGCACTATATCAGTGGAACAGAAAGAGAAGCAGTATGTGTCAGCGGCTGCTTCAAGCGAAAGCAGTGTGGTTGGCGACAATGACGGGAAGGGGGTGGTGAGCTTGGGTATTGAACCGGCGAAGATCACGAAAGCGGATGGTACAGAATGGAGGTGGAATTCCTTTAGGGTATGTAATTAGCATTTCATTTCTTTGGATTTCTTTTACACGTCGTTCATAATTGATGAACGATTGGGATGGGATTTTTATATTGTCTGTGCGTGGTGGTTTTGATTTTGAAGCCGTGGGAGACGTACCGAGCGAACGTGTCAATTGATCTGAAGAAGCACCATACGCCGGCGACATATTTGGACAAGATGGCTTATTGGACTGTAAAGGTTCTCCGATGGCCCACTGATATATTCTTCCAGGTATCACTCCTTCCATCACCCGCACACGATAGTCGATAAGAGAAACACTTCCTTTCTTTATACGCCCATAGTGATTAATTGTTTCATATTGCAAAGTTATCCATCTTACATTACATTCAATAAAATTAAATCGATTCAATTAAGTAAAATTTTATATATCATTATTTTTAATAATTTTATTTTTATAATAAAATAACATATTTAATTTTTACTTTTCTCTCCTCCCATCATCATTAATATCATAATTAATTTATATTTAATATCATCTCTATATCATGTTTTATTGAATATATCATAGATAAATTGGTGTAGCAAGTTTATCTATAAATTTCTGGTACTAGAATTGTGGTCCTTCTCATTCATATTCCACATAATTTTTTTCCTATTTTTTTTTATTTGCCTTGATTTTTTTTTTGGGGCCATGATTTGCCTTGAACGTGGGTCATGTTCGGATTTGGGTGTTTGGCAGGTTGTGTATAAATTTGGATCCAGTAATTCCGGATGATTGGAAAGTTAAATTCTTCTTCTTCAATTAATCCAGAGAGAATTGGTCTGAGCCCGACACGATCGAGTTAGCTGTTCAAGAACGAAATAAAACCCGAAAAAAATTCGTAAAAGATGGAATATTTTTTCCAACTAAATTCTTAAATCATTGCCCACAAAAAAAGCCCGAATCCCAAGCCATGAATATAAATATTTTTTACTATGAAATTCAAATCAAAAGTGCTTTTGCATGACTTATTGACTTGCAATTCAATCCACCACAAAAACATAAAATAAAAATTATTTCATATAAAATGGATTTTTATAAAATAATCAATACTCCACAATTTTAATTGATCTGTAGATTCATGTATAATTGATAAGTTGATCTTGATTCAGTCAGTTGATTGGGATTGGATTACTTGACTTTGCTGAACACAATACTTTATCGTGGTCTTTCCACAAAATATTGCGTGTAATATTTCGTGGGATCTCCAAAACTGGAGTGTAACTGTTGTTGAAATTATGCAAGATATTATTTTATCAAAGTTAAATAAAATGTTAAAAAAAAAAAACTTAGCTCATGAGTGATAGAGATTCAAACAAAGTGGTCAAGGAGTTAAGGGTCTGAATCATAATTTTGTGTACTAGCTACTAAGCAAATTTGCTTCGTCCCAATTACCCTTTGGTTATAATCTCTTGCCAATAAAATAAAATAAAATATCAATGATTCATATTATTTTGAATATTTTAATTCCTTTCAATTTTGTTATTGCATATTTCTTCATGCCTATGCATTTAATTATTATTTTTTGATGATTCAGTTTATTTATAACAGCGGCAAAACCCAAAAAAAATTAAGGGAATTATAAAAATTATTATTTAAAATTGATGGCAAAAAATATTATTTTAAATATTTATTAGATTAATATAATAAAAAATAGCTTCAATTTAAAAAAAAATTTAATATAAATTTAAAAAATAACTTCATAATAAATATAAGTAAATATATTAGGATGATAAAATATTTTCGCATATATTTATATTTTTAATTTTAATTTTAGTTTTAAGATTTTTTTATAGGTTTTAATATTAAAGTATTATTCATTAGTTCTTACAGTAATAAGATTTCTCCATAATCTCCTTACAACAAAATTTTGATCTTTCTCTTACTGTATAAAATAATACTTATTGTGGAAAATTCATTAATAATTTATTATTCAAATATTTATATAACGAGTAAAGAATATCACTATTTTTGATCTTATTACAAATTTTCTTTGAAATATATCAGTTTTTATTTATAAATATGCAAAAGTTAATTTTAGCTCCTCACTTTCTTGTAATGTTTCATTTGGCCCCCATGTTTCAACTTCTGGATCCGTCCTGGTTGCATCAGGGATTTGATTTTAATCTTTAACTACTATCCACGTACAATAATTCTACTTTGCCACTTGAACTAGTTAGCTATATCATTAGTTATTTTATTATTAAGAATGAAGATAAAATTTTCCTGAAAAGACTTTAATTTACTTTAATATATTTTCCATTTCATACAATTATTTCTATGATTAATATATATGAAATGACTAATAAGCATGTTTCAAAAGAAAATACGCGAGGCATTAAAACATTTTTTTGGGGGATAAAAAATTGTCGGAGGGGAAGGATTTAAAATTTGAAGTCAAAAGGATGTTGTTCGCACTAATTAGATTAACTTGAATTTGATTATTTGATGCTCTCCATTCTCTCGGCTGTATGTGATTATACTAAATTGTCGGTTGGACCAAACGTTGGACCACAGCGCACTACTTTTTGTATGTGAGCCCAAATCCTTGGAATTCGATATTGGTCGAGAAAAAAACTATAACTATCTAGACTTCTTGACCTGCCTTTTATTTCTTATATGAGAACACCCCGGAAAAAAAAAATTGCTGAGTTGGGACAGGGAATTCTTTCCTTTGTAAACTGCCTTGAAACGAGAACACTTGTAATCCAGTATTCCTTGGTTAAATATCATCTCTGTTGTTCTTCATCAGATTTTATAGTGGGTCCTCTTGTCAATAATCTCTTATTAATTGGAAAAAAAAACTATGGGTTCCTCCATATATAATCAGTTTGCCATTCAATCTATGTTATAACACTTGCTCATGTTTAAAAATGTGGAACTAAATTCTAGGGAAAGTTATATCTGTCTGACATGGTGAGCACACAATGTAACAGAAACGGTAATATGATGCCGAGCAATGATGCTGGAGACAGTGGCGGCTGTACCGGGCATGGTAGCAGGGATGATACTGC